GGATTTATTAGTGGCTGTGGAGAAAGCACACACAGTGGCACAGGCAAAGCAGACACATCCCCACAGCCCTCCCTGTGACTGGAGCCGATGGACAGGGCTGGGAGTGAGCCCATCAGCAGCACCAGGCACACAAATTCCTGCAGCCCTCAGCCCACTGGGCCTCTTCCCACCCGGCTGCTGCCCAGGGAGGTGAACACACTTCCACGGGGGAACCACGGCCAGGCCACTCATCCCACATTCCGTGTGTTGTCACACCTGGCAGCACCAGGTCAGGACCACGTGGGAACCCAACAAGGAGTAGAAAAGCATGGGGAACACAGAGATGGGGTCAAGCAGCACTCAGAGCACACAGGTGTCCAGCATTTGGGGTCTCACAGAGTGGGAGCTGTTGGGCAATGCCTGCCCCACCGCAGGCTCTCCATGGCCACAAGCAAGGATCACCCTTTGCTCCAGGGAATGCACCCTGGCATCTCCTGAGCTCTCCGTACAATCACCAACATCTCATTTCTTTTGCAAAGCCTGTCTGGAAAGTCAATGTTTTATGAACCAGGCGCCAGCACTCCCCAATGGGAATGAAATGGGAATGGATGGGAGCTCAGAGCACCCCATGCAGTGCTGGAGGGGCAGGCACTGCAGAGCACCCTCCAGGCCGAGCTCCCAGGGGATGTCTGGGGTCCCTGGGAGGGGCCAGCCCCCAGCTCAGCTGCCCAGGAGGCAGGCGGGGATGTGCAGGCTGGGATGGGGAGGGAGCAGCGAGCACCCTTGGGAGGCTGAGCTGAGGGATGTCAGTGCCAGCCCTCGCTCCCAGGCCGGCCACAGAGCCCCAGGCTGCCAGAAAGGGGTCGGGGCAGGACGCCGAGCGTCCCCGGCCACGCAGGGCACGGCTCACGAGGCTGCTCAGCCCCTGACTCAGCGGGTGAGCACAGGGTGAAACTCACCCCACCCTCCCGAGACAAACCAGCACCCTGGCACCCCTCTGTGCCCGGCCTCTCGCTGAGGGAATGCCAAAACACAGCCCACGCCATGGGGTCCCTGCACCACACAGCATCCCTTCATCCCTCTGCCTAACGAGGGGCCAGTCAATGCAATACAGGGACCCCAAATGCAGCAAACACAAACAGCAGAGCTGCTTCTCCTGAGCCTGTAGAGCCCACGGTCACCCACAGTCCATCAGAGGGAAAACTGGCCTTGGGGGACAGCAATTTCCTGCGTGAGGCACCTGGGTGGCCAGGAGCAGGCAGGGATCCTGGCACGCAGGGCAGGGCACAGGGATTGCCCCGGTGGTGACTCAGCTTGCGGCAACTGTGGAGCTCCCCACAGCCCAACACACCCAGGCTGTGGAAACACTTCCCATTGCACCCACTGGCCCCATGGAGCTGAGCACCCCGTGGATTTGGAAAGGGACACACACCTTCATGGCCACACCCTGGGAGCCCCTCAGTCAAAATCCTCCTGCCCAGGGAGCTTGGCTTGGAATAAGCTGCCCTTCTGCTCCTTGTGCTGCTGGAAAGCGAACCAAACCCCTGCGGTGCTTGCCATCCCTGTGGAGCTGTGACATTCCTGCCTCCTCAGCGAGGCCTCCGCTGACCCACATTCGGCCACTGAAGCCCCACGTGGTGCCCCAAGCTCGGGTTTTGTTCTGGCCCATTACAGAGCCGCAGCCCGAGCGCCTGCTCGGGCATCTCTGCTCGGCGCTGTCACCTCGCATCGAGCGCCTGGCAGCCGACGGCCCCGCGCTGGGATTTATCCCCAGAAGATCATTCTCTGCCTCCCCTGGGTCCCTGCTGCCGTCAGGAGCAGAGGAGGGGAAGGCAGCAGCCCAAACCAGCCCCTCCAAGGCTCCCTCCGGCTGGGCTGCGGGTGCTCCCGGGACGCTCTGCAGCTCCACCACCCTGGATGCAGCTGTCGCTCCCAAAAGCAGGAGGTCCCAGGACCTGGGCTTTTTGCCTCACACTGGGACCTTTTTTTATGGTGCAGGCAGTCGAAGTAAGTAAGGCAGGGAAGAGTAAACTCTGGCATAGCCATGGAAACTGGAGGGGAGGGATGGATGGATGGATGGATGGAGGGATGGATGGATGGATGGATGGATGGATGGATGGAGGCTGTAGAAGGCAACGACCTGCTCCCCTCTCAGCAGGCCTGCGTGACCCTGAGCACACCCCGAGCCAGAGCAGGGGAACACCCTTGATTAAGATAATAACCCTAATGAGCAGCTAATGGCTCTTGGTCAGGCGCACCCTTCGGGAATGTGCCCGGGACCCACCGCGCCGTGCTCAGCCCAGCACAGCCAGCAGGCATCGGCCAGCCTGGGCTGGGGAAGGGGGGTTCACACAATCGCGGAATATCCCGACCCACAGGGATCACAGTCCAAGTCCTGACCCTTCCAAAGCCACCGCCCCCAAAGGCACCGCGGGGTATCATCGGTCACCACTCCAAGTGTCTTGTCCCTGTACAGTCTTCAGAATTTTCCCAAGAGATGCACAGTTCCTGTGGGAAGAGGGAAAACCTGTCCACAACACGATGTGTGCCTTAAAGGAGAGCTGCTGCTGCCCCACAGCCCTGGGCTGTACGGGTGGGAGCTCAGGCTGCCTTCCCAGGGCTGGGGGTCCCACAGGGGCCCTGCTGCCTCCCATGCCAGGGCAGAGAGTGAGCAGCTGTCCCAGAAAGCACCCAGTGCCTGACACCTCCCGGTGCTCAGGAGCAAACCCTCACAGTCCCACCTGCCCCTCAAACAGCCATCCTGGACAAAACAGCTCTTGGCAGGAGGGAGCTTGGCAGGACACCACCCCCAGCGTCCCCAGCCACCCACAGAGCTCCCCCAGGTCCCCGGAGCAAACCCCTGGCCAGAGCTGAGCGTGGGAAGGAGCTTATATTCCCTTTTAGCTTTGTTCCCTGCTGTGTCCTTGGTCAAAGGCCTCCCAGGTTTCCCTCCTTGCATCCTCTGTCCCACACACATAAAGCTCCCGGCAGGGTGAAGGTTAAAAGCACAAGTTGCACCAGCATTAAAAACGCTTTTGCAGTTGGGTGAGTAGTTAAAAACTGCCCAGGATGAGCAACTGGAGCTGTGCAAGAGCCTTTTTCTCATTCAGTGGTGGTGAGGGGGAATGAGGGGTTTAGATGCTTACGGAGGGAATCCCACAGGCTGCCACTCAAAACCCATCCTCGTTCCTCCCTACGCTGCCCGTGGCCAATAAACACCAGCCCAGGCTTGCCCTGGCAGGGCTTGGAGCCCCCAGCCCAGTGAGCCCAGCTCCAGGGGACACCCCAGGGCTCAGCTGTCTCCCAGCTCCTCACAGACTTGCGATCACCCGGGATTTGTCTCTGCCCCTGAGACGGTGCAGCTCCAAGGAAGGCAGCAGAACCGATGCAACGCGGAGGCAAGGCAAACCTTGAGCTTGGAGAGCCAAAACCCTCACATTTTCATTTTTTGGCCTTTTGAGGTTTTCTTAATTTGTCTATTTTTGTTCCTCACCCACCTCCGCGCTGAGTGTGACGCGAGCCCTCGCTGGAGAGGCAGGGTTTTAAGGCAGAGCTCTGGCTGTTATAAAGCAGCGAGGTTCTTGGAAAAACAGCCTCTGGAGCAATAAACAGATTTGGAGCTGAGGGCTGTGAGGGACGGCTCCATCTGGGCTGCTGAGTCATGAAACCTGCCCGAGTGAGATACCAGCGGAGGGCTCGGGCTGGGGGAAGCTTCCTATGAGGGATTTGGGCTATTTCAGTCGGAGCGTGCGACAACAAAACCAGAAAGCGAACAAAAGCGGGCTGGGGTGGCCACACTTCGCTCCAGCAGCCGCGGGGTTAAGGCAGAGGCTGCCCTCCTCCTCCTCCTCCTCCTCCTCCTCCCACCTCCTCCTCCTCTGCCAGTGCCAGCGCCAGCCTTGTCCCGTCCCTGCCATGCTGGTGAGGTGCTGGGAGCAGAGCTTTCACCTTAACCCCACAGTCTGCAGCCAAAGACAAACTCTCTCCCCTTTGCTGTGTGCATCCCCTAACCCATGGCATTCCTCCTTGGGCATCCCAGCCTACGCCAGCTCTCCACAGGGACCTGAGCCCACCCTGCCCTGGGCAAGGGTCCAGCCTGGTCCCCAGCGTGGTGCCACAAGAAGCCCCGGGAGCCTGGGGACCAGCCAGACATTCCTTCTCTGTGCTCCCAGTGTGGGGAGGAGCTGTGGCTTGGGATGTCCCGAGTCACAAAAACCACGTTTGTCTCTCTCCCTCAGGCTGGCCCCTTCCCCAGTGAGCACACACCGAGCCGAGGGACACCCTCAAGGGACCCCATCTTGTCCCCACACATGCCAGCAGGGTCCCCACGGGGACAGGGCATGTCCCACCCCAAACAAGGGATGTCCTGGGCCCTGTCACACCCCACACACTGTCCTGTCCTGACTGGGGCCCTGTCACACCCCACACACTGTCCTGTCCTGACTGGGGCCCTGCCACACCCCTGTGCCCACGGGACCACCTGTCCCAGCCATGTCCCTTCACTCACGTCGACACATCCCATCCCCACAGGGACACCTGCCATGTCTCCACAGGGATCCCATTGTCTCCATCCCCACAGGGACCCCATCATGTCCCCACTGGAACCCTCCCTTATTTCCATCCCCACAGGGGCCCCCACACAGAGTCCCATCCCCCCCGGGACCCTGGTGTGCCCCACAGAATGCCCCACTTCTCCCCTTCCCCGTGTTCTCTCCACAGGGACGCTCAGTTGTCCCCATCCCCACGGCGGCTCCCGCATGTCCCCACACACGGTCCTATCCCCACAGCGACCCCGCCATGTGCCCACTGGGAGCCCCTTTGTTCCCATCCCCACAGCGCTGTCCCCACAGGGCCCGGGCTGTGCCCAGAGCGGCTCCCGCTCCCACAGGCAGCGCGGGCCTGGCGGCGGCGGCGCCTTTAAGCGGGGCCGGTCTCCCGGAGCCCCCGCCCGGGGGCCGGGCCGGGCCGCCCCCCGTAGCCTGGTAACGGCGGCTCTGCGGGCGGGGGTGGCCCCGGCAGCCGCGGTCAGGTGGCACCGCCGAGACGGAGCCGACCGAGCACGATAAAAGTCCCGGGCCGCCGCCGCCACGGCCGCGAGGGAGCGCGGAGCCGCCGCCCGGGAGCCATGGTAGGGACGGGCAGGGCCGGGCGGGGGGAACCGGGGCGCTCGGGCTGGGGGGGCCCCGCCGATCCCCGCTGTGCTCGCCGCTCCCAGCCCGCCCCGTTCGCGTACGGTGCCCTCCGGAGGGGCCCCCGGCGGACGGGACGGGCCGCGGGGAGGTTGCGATCCCCGGCGGGCTCAGGGTGCCGGGGCTGTGCCGTGGGACAGCGGCTCCGTGCCCGGCGGATGCGGCCCCGCTGCGGGACGGGGGCAGCGGCGGCGCTGCCGGGGGTGCCCGGAGGAGCGCGCAAAGAACGCGGTGGCCGCTGCTCAAAGCCCGGCTGAGCCCGGCGGGAGAGCGGGGGGCACCTCCGAGCTGCACCAGAGCAGCCACGGGCACAGCTCGGGGTTCCTCGACGTGGAGCCAGCCCCACCATGGGCTGTGCTGTAACAGGGTTCCATCTCTGAATCCTGCCGTCAGCACCCATTCCTGGCTCAGAACCCATCTCTGGCTCCTGCCCTCGACACCCCCAGGTCAGCGCCCTTCTCTGGATCCTGCCTTTGCGCCCCTGCTGTGGGCACCCATCCTTGGGTCCTGCCCTTGCAGCCCTCCCTGGCTCCTGCCATCAGCCTGCTGGAGTGGAGCACCCATCTCTGGCTCCTGCCCTCCACACCCCAGCTCAGCACCCATCCGTGGCTCCTGCCCTCCACACCCCCTCTCCCAGGGCACCCCGATGCCCCAAACCCCGGCGGGTCCTGCAGCTGCCCGGCCTCACAGCCAGCCCGGTGGCGTGCACAGCCCTTGACTCAGCTCCGGAGCAGCTGCTTTGAGCAACACCAGTAATCAATGAGTGGCATTTGGCTGTAGGGAGATGGGGCAGGATTATAACCTGTTTGACTGGGCAGCAAATGAGCCTTTTATTCAGGAGGTTTGAGTGCTGGCAGATGCCCTAATATCATGTTGCAAGTTCAGTTTATCCCTAGTGCCCCTGCCTCAGGAATGGTGGAGGATTAGCACTGACAAAACACTGTTTTCCCTTATGATACACCGGATCAGCTGCCCCTGCTCTGGCAGGGAGTGGATTCCTCCCCCAGGCCTCGCTGTAAACCTTGGTGTTTGCTGTGTTCCCGGTGGCTGGGACGGGCTCTGTGGTGCTCTGGTTCCCAAGGAATGAGAAGGAAGGATCCCTAATTTGGGGGAACATGTGTTGTTCCCCACTGGCAGAGAGATCTGATGCCACGACTTGGCTGACGTGACCCTGGTGAACGTCAGGGGAGCAGTAATGCAGCAGGTTTTCATCGATTTATGCCTGGAAGGTGTGAACGTGCAGCTCTGCCTGTCCTTCCTGCCCCCAAGGGCTCGCCTGGGTCCTGGACAGGCACACAGACATCCCAATTTCCTCCAGGAACAAAGGTGAAATCCCAGGGATTTCATCTGAGCCCTTGCTGCGCTGTGGGGTCTGCTCTAGGCTGTGGCACTGCTTCGTCTTTGGTCAGGGCAAGATGGAAATTTGCACAGCTTAATTCAATACCTGATCCCAGCTGGAATCTCGGAGCTGGAAAGCTGGAGAGCTCATGCTGCTCTAGTGCTAGAAACGTGCAGGGTGTGGGGGGAAATCTGCTGCCTGAGCCAGGCTCCATTGGAGGGAGGGAGGGAGGGAGGGAGGAAAGGGATGCAGAGCTGGCACTAAAAAGTCTCAGGTCTCAGCTCTGGGAGCCAGAACCAGCTTTGTCCCAGGGAACCAGCCACCTGCATGCCTGGGCATGCAGGAAGAGCCTGGGAATGAGGAGTGGGGAAAAGGCACCTGGGCAGGGCAGTGGGGCCTGGGGGCACCACATGCTGACCCCACTAGAGCCAGCTTCTAAGGGCTGTTCACCTGAGAAGCCTTCCAAGCTCCCTGCCACCACTGCTGGACTTTCATTCCATGGTGGTTTTCCCTGGAAGGGAGGGGTAACACCTCAAACCAGGCATGGAAGCTTCTCCCAGCCCCTCCTCTCCAGGTGCACAACCCTCGGCACACACACCCCCTGTTTATCACTTGGAAAAGAACGCTCTGAGCAGCCATAACGTGAGGGGAACATCTAGCAGAGAGGGCTCTGGCATTTGGAAATAGCTGAGGAATCTCTGAACAGGAGCCCCAGCTCCCTGGATGCTTGGGAATAAAGCCAGGAACTGGGAGGCAAAGGCACTGCCCACCCTTCCCGGGGTGCCTGTAGAGCAGGCAGCGCGTGGGCTCTGCTCACACAGCTACTCCCCTGCTTTAAAAATAGTATAAAACCATAATAATTGGGCAGGTTTGGGGTCCCCAGCAAGAAGGATCAACAGGTGCTGCCACAGTCACTACAAGGCCAGGTGGGTCACGGTTCCCAGGATAATGAGAATTAATTCTCATTTATTTTCACCATCCCACCCTGCAGTGTGGTGGGGGGGTGGGGGGGGAGGTGCAGCTCCCTCCCTTCGGGGGCAGGAATCCTTCATGGAGGAAGTGTGAATTTGCACAGCATCCCTGAAAAAGGGAATTCCCCCAGCCTGGAGCAGCCAGAGCAACCTCCTGGGAGCCAAGGGGTGCTGGCCCGGCGCTGCTCACTGGGGAAGCTTCACGTGTAAACTTCATTTCCCCCTAACTGATTAAAATTGGTCTCTCCTCCTGTTACCCTGCACAACCCCACGGATGTGCTCAGAGGTGACCTCATTCCTTACAGCTGCTGCAGGCACGTCCTGCTGCTCCCACCCTTGTCCAGCCAGCCCCTGCCCGGCCTTGGGAAGCGTGGGGAAAGCGTGGGCAGCCCCTGCCCGCTGGGAATTCCTCCAGAGGGGAATGTGTCACCATCGGGTTCTTCAGGGTGCCAGCTTTGAGACCCCCTGAGAAGCCAGGCAGCTGAGAGTATGCACCAGTTGGCACTGCCCCTGGAAAAGGCCCGGCTGAGGCCAGCAGGGAGGCACCAGACCATTTCCAGGACACGTTGCAGTGAATTTGCAGCTGCCTTCAATTTTATGGGCTCTGGGGTGGGCTGGGGCAGAGCCCCACAGGCAGCAGGCACAGCCCTGGGCCCGGAGGGGTCACACACCAGCAAACACACCAGGTCCCTGTGTTTTGTTCTGCTAACAGGGAAGAGATTGTGTCCCTCCTGTCAGCTGTGACTGCGCAGGGCACGGCTCTGGAAAAAACAAGGCTCCATCTTGCAGCACCCTGGCAGCCGGAGCCAGCCGTGGGTCTGCTCCCTGAATGTGCCCCTCTGCTCTCCATCCACATCCCCCGGGGTCACACTTGGACACAGGGAGCAGGGGATGGAGCTTTCCTAAACTCCACCTGCAATCCAGATGCCATCAGCTGGCGCTGGAATAATCTGTGGTGCTCCAGAAGAGGCGGTATCTCCACTCGGGGCTGGAAAACAGCCCTCAGTGCTCAGCCGAGTGGGGAACCGATGCTGCTCACAACTGTCGGATCCTGTCTGTGCCTGCTCAGAGCTCGGTTCTGGCTTTTAAAGCATTTCATGCACCTACCAGGAGTTTTTAAGCAGGATGCAGGTGGCTCCATGCTGGGGGAGTCCTGTGCCCCTGCTGTGCTCTCCCAGTGAGCAGCACACAGAGCGTGGCGTGCAGAGCCTGTGGCTCTGGAAGCACAGACGTGGCGTTTAAAAGAAAGATGGTTTGTTTTTCTTGCATCAAATCCTCTCGCTGCTTGCCGAGGGAGGCTTGTCCTCAGAGCACAGCAAGGATTTATAAATACCAGCGTGCTCCAGGTTGCGCCCGCTGCCCGTCTCGCTCCGTGCCGGTGGCCGGGAGCTCTCCCTGTGGCCAGAGGTTTGGCTGGCAGGATCCAGCTGGAGAGGGAGCAGTGCCTGCTCCCACTGTGCAGGGGGTGGCTGCACGGCAGGATCACAGCGGGGCAGGGATCACAGGGTGACAGGGAGCAGAGCGTGGCCGTGGGCAGCTCTGCTGTCACGGGAGTTGGTGCCAGTGGGAATCAAGAGGCAGCCGAGCCTGGCAGCCTGGGACCCTGCCCATGGGGCCATCCTCAGATGGATCCTTGCAAAATCCTCACCTCCCATTTTTCCTGCTGGGAGAATTGCCATCGGGGAGCGAGCCTTTGGCTGGCAGAGCACTCGGACACTGCTCAGTTGGGCACCCCAGGCTGGGTTAGGGTCACCACCCCTCAGCCTGGTGCCAGCCTGAGGTTCGGTGCTGCCATGTGGGATCAGAGCCTGGCTGTGGGGCGAGGGCAGCTCATCCTCATCCTCACCACAGGCAGGAGGCAACGGGTGAGCCTTGCCCAGCCCTGGCCTCATGCAGGGCACCGGGCACCGCGGTGGTGCCAGCGGGAGGGACACGGGCAGTGACACAGGAGTGCCAGCTGTCACCCCTCTGAAGGCAGCAGCTGGGACAGGCTCCTGAGGGATCGCCTGCAGCCCAGGGAGCTGCCTCAGCTCTGGGAGCAGCCTGGATTCCAGGCACAGGGGGAGGCAGGAACTAAACTGCTTGATCTGGGGTCGTTGAGCTTCCCAGGAGAGCCCCGGACTGTTTGCAGGGTGTCTCGTTGTGCGTTTTGGGCACGATTCCCCTTTTTGTGGATCCTCTGGGAAGTTCCTGGTGTGTTCTGGCAAGCGTGGGGACCCGGCTGTGCTGGGAGCTGCACAAGCAGCCAGGCCTGCTCAGAGCTCCGGGCAGACAGATTATTATCTTGATTTAACATCTGACAGCTCCCATCCTGCTTGGAGAGGCCAGCACAGGCTGCCAGCAGAATCATTCTGGGGTTGGTTGTAGCATCCTCTGGCTCAGTCCAGATCACCCCCACTGCTCCCCTTCCTTCCTTCCCATTCCAAACCAGAACCACTCGACCTTTCCATCGTGAGGACCCACACGAGAGGAGCCTGTAATGGCTCTGGGAGCACAACCAAAGGCAGGAGAGCCCCAGCAGAGCAAAAGGCTGCAGGAGAGCTGGCAAGAAGAGCTGGTGGCTCCCACACATCCTCTCCCCTCCCAGCTCTGCTTTGGGCTCCCTTGGACTCAGCACAAGCAAGCCCTGACCCAAGAATGGCTGCAGTTTGTGCTCTCTGCTGAAATTTATTTGAAATGCCACTCTCCAGGACCATTTTTGAAGCAATTTGCTGTTCAGCCTGGCTGGGAAGAGCCCTGAGCAGGCTCGTTCATTCAGCGCCTGTGATATTGACTCTTCTCTTTACTGCAGGATTAGAGAGCATTTGTCATCTCCAAAATGAATAACTTTTCCTCTCCTGGGAGGGGGGAGAAGCCTTGCCTCAGTACTGACATTTTGCACACCCAGCCCACAAACCTGCTTCGAATCCCAGATGATGATCTGGGAATTAAACCCGGGGCTTTGGTGTCTCTGCTCCATGAGCAGAGCAGGGCCCACTGTGCACTAAACCCACGGTCCAGAGGGAGAGGGGCCTGGGGCAGCTCTCACCTGGCCAGGTACCAGCCCCATGCTTGTGTTACTGCCACACAACCCGACAGAAACTCAGGTCCCTCAGGGACAAGCCACAGCCTCTGCTTTCAAGACAGAGGAGCTGTGTTAAAAAACAAACAAACAAAAAAAACCCTTAAAAATCAGAGCAAACCACCCAGCAGCAGCAGAATAAGAAGGCAGAAGCTCAGACTTGCCAACTCATTGTCTAGAGCCCAACCAGTTCTCCCTCCTGTCCTGGAGATCACAGTATTTAACTCACAAACTCACCCTGTTTGTCATTTGAGCTTCCAGAGGTGTTTTCAGGTCTTTCTCAGGAGGTCCAGGAACCAGCAGTGCGTTCCCATGGGAATTTCAGCCTTTGTTAACAGGACTTCGTTCCCAGGAATGAAAGCAAGAGAAACAAACTCCAGCTGTTGCAAGATTTGGAAGAGCAGAGCCACGAGCGTTGCCGGCAGCAACCTTTCCAAGGGGCTGCACCACCAAAGCACCAACCACGGCATCGGGATTGCTGCATTGCTTTGGAAATCCTCTTACCTAGAAAGGAGCTGCTCAGGGCCAGGAGATGCAGCCCATGTGGGTTACAGCCAGCCTTCCATGGGAGCAGCTACCCTGGGCGAGGCACCTGCTCCTCCTGAGACAGGGGAACCACGAAGCTCAGCCTGGAGGTACAGCAGGACCCACCTGAGAGCTGCGGGGAGCCAGTGGGTGCAGGATGAGATCCAGGCTGGATGGGTGCTGGAGAAGTGTCCCCTCACCATAAACCTGAGGATGGTGCTGGCCAGGAGTGCTGGGAAAGGACCTGGAGGCTTTGAAGAGCAGAGTGTTCTCCAGGCTGTAATTAGCCACTGGCTTCCCCCACCCCTGATTATGCAGAGGAGGGAAATGGTAGAACCCACCAGTCTGCCGGGGAGGGAGGAGGCTGCTCCAGTCCTGCCCCCCCTGGCACCCCAAGGACCCCCTGGCACCCCAGGGTCCCACTGCCACCCTGGTGTCCCAGCCCTCCTCATGGGAGTCTGGGCTCTGTGCGTGGGCAAGACCAAGGCACGGTCTGGAAAGGGATTTACTGTGGGTCAGGGCTGCTACAGGATGAATTACTTCATTAACTGGAGTCAGCTCACAAAAAGGATGATGTGATGGCAGGGACACCTGGTTGCTACCGGCCCACTGCCAGCCGGTCTTCTCCCGAAGGACCATCTGCACCCTCGTGGAATGTCAGCCCTTTGCAGGAAGCCCCAGTGACATCCCAGTTCCTTTGGAAGGCATGAAGGCACTTCCAGGGCTTTTTAGGGACCGTTCTGGATCCAGCCCTAGGACAGGCTCCAGCACCCCGGCTTTGGGCTGGTGTGACTCCCCAGCCCACACCAGCACTCAGAAACCGCAGCCAAGGAGCAGTGGGAGAAGAGGTGGGGTTTTTATTTCACACGGGGCGGTGTGCCCTGGCTGTACCTGGCGGTGCAGAGGCTGAAGGCGCAGCCGGTGCCCCTCCCTGTGCCCTGCCAGGAGCCTCTTGTGCCATCGGCCTTCCCAGGCACAGCCACGCCAGGCTATGTGCGTGCTTTGTTCCATCTTCAGCGATTTTCTTTTTTTTTTCTGCCCTCAGCAAGGGCTGGGAAGAGGCTTTTCATTGCCGTTCCCTTTCTCTGCCCCAGCACAATGACGGGAATGGCTGCGTGAAGAGCAGCAGTGTTGGATTACAGCGGGGAGCGGTGGGGTAACGCGGCTGTGCCGGGAGAGGCAAAGGGACTTGCACGGGAGCGAAACGGGACTTTGGGCCGGGCAGGGGGGATGCAGGGGTGCAGCCCTGGGCACAGATGAAGCCTCACACCCGCGAGCCTGGGGGAGCTCCCGATCTCAGCCGAAAGCAGACGAGGCCCGTTCCATCCCCGGCTCCCCGCACGGCGGCAGCTGCTGGGGCTCTGTCACATGCCCGAGGCAGCGCGGTGCCATCCCAGCCAGCGAGCGCTGCGAGCGCTGCACGCCAGGGACGGCATCCAGCAATGGCCATCACAGCAGCCTTAGCTCTCACTTCGGTAATCAGCTTCTCTCCAAAATATTCCGTCCTTCTGGCTGAGAGCTGCTCTGGATCGAGCTGTGGGAGCTGTGTCGGCCACTCCGAGCCCCGGGGATGTCGGTGGTACTGGGTTGGACGGAGCAGCTGCGGCTGCCCCTGGATCCCTGGAGGTGTCCAAGGCCAGGCTGGACAGGGCTTGAAGCAGGCTGGGACAGGGGAAGGTGTCCCTGCCCTGGGATGAGATGGGATGGGATGAGCAGGTGTTTACCGCTGGCGTGGCAGCCCCAGTGTTTGCAGAGCGAGCCCAGCCTGTCACATGCAAATCCCTGGATAAGTTCCTGCCTGCAAACAGGAACCACTTTATGGAAAGCAGCAGAGCCCTTCCCAAACTGCCTCAGGAGTGCTCTGGGGAGGCTCTGCCTTGCTCAGAGCTGGTTTGGGGCGGGTGCTGCTCTCGCTCTGCCAGGGTCCAGCAGCGTTTCCCAGGTGATTCACTTGCACTCTGGGAGCTGGTGGGAAAAGAAGGGCACCTTGGCCCCATCCTCAGCTTTTTGGGAGTGGGGTGCTGTGGCTCTGGCATCAGCTCTGCTGCTTCCCACTCACAGGGACAGGGAACAGGGGGTCCTCAGAGGGTGGCTTTGGGCACTATCAGAAGGACACAGACTTGCCCCAGCTGTCTGGGCCTGGGTGGATGCTAAAGGAGACATCAAAGCAAATTAATTACTTAAATGACTGATATTTTTTTTGAGCCATGACTTCTGTGCCATCCTGAGATTCCTCTGGGCTCACCGTGACTTTGAGTGCTGTGTTGGCAGGAATTGGTGACATTACGGTGTTGGCAGCAAGTGCCACCCCGAGTCCTCAGTCTCTCTGTGGGGAAGCCGTGGTCTTCCCTCCCAGTTCTTGGACACCCACCTAATTAGAGTCCAGCCAGATCCCAGTAAAATCCATGCTCTTTTCTTTCCCCAGCTCATCACTGGACACACTCTATGAGCCATCCCAGCCCCAGCAGCCCAGAGCACCCGGGTGCCACTCCGTGATTTACAGCAGGACTTTGTTACCAAGTGTAAGTGCCCAAATCCTTTGCATTGTCAGCAAGAGCTGTTTGAGAGTAGGGATTTCCCCTGCTCAAAGAATTGTATTCCTTTGAAAAATACACACCTTTCCTTGGTGCTCCAGCTGGGTGACTGCAGTGGGGGGAAGCTGAGCATCCATAGCTGCAGCAAAAACTTTGTTGGGGCAGGAACTTTTGCAGCTTTGGGTCCACAGCTTCAGGAGCTGCCAGCAGGGAAGAGCCACGGAAGAGGCCACGTTATGCTCATTAAGTTTCTGTACCACAGAGCCAAAAATCCACTGGCAGCACCACCAGCCACTGCTGGGACCTGTTGGTGCTTCCCAGAGCGTGACATCAGGGCAGACAGCTGAGGGCTGGGGGAGCCACAGCCCTTTAAAGGACCCTCTTAACATAATTAAGAATTGCTGGAGGGACAGATCCCTCTCCCCAAGGCCCTGAGCATCCCCCAAGTCCCCTCAGCTCTGCCAGTGCCACCAGGGTGGGCTCAGAGGTGCCTGGGCAGGGACTGGAGCCTTTCCCGTGGCCCTTCTCCAAAGGGAGAATGCACAGACTGGCAAATTATTGATATTCCAGGGCTCATCCCTTGCCTGCAGCTTCTCCCCTGGCTTTGGAGGTGCCCCAAAGGAGCAGGGGGAGTCAGAGCAGGGACCCTCGCAGGCCTCTGCAGCACGTGTCTCTGCCAAGCATTAGTCAGTCATTAAAGCAGGACAAGAGCCTCCCCTGTCCCGGCCTCTGCTCTGGGTTTTACTCTCAGCTTCTGACATAACCAGGTCACTCTTTCCACACTTCCCCTGCCTCCAGGAGAGCCGATGACTGATGGGGATGGATGTGACTCACTGCCTTTCCTAATGAGTGACTTTCCTCTGTTTATGTGCTTTGGCGGGGCTTTTCCTACACCTAAAAAAGGAGAAGGGTGGCACTGGGGAGAGGGCAGCGTGCTGGAAATTGCTGGCATCTGCTGTTGCTCACCGTCCCTTTGAACTGTGGCCAGCTGTGAAGCTGCTGTGTTTAAGCATGGAAAAGGTGTAGCTCATCTTCCACATGTTGGTCTGGGTGAGATGCTGTCAGGACCCACAGGTAAACCCTTGGCGAGTAATTGGAGCTAATTAGGCTGAAAGAATTTTTTGTTGCTATCTGTCCAGGCAGTGCCTGGGGGACAGTGGTAATGAGCAGTGTGAAACCAGCCCCACATTTCTCACAGAGCTTTGCCAGGCCACAGCAGGGCGAGCTGGGCTTTCCTGCTCCCTCGCACAGACACAGCTCGGGGACAGCTCCCCGCTCACGTGGCCTCGCTTGTGTTTTGCAGTGACTTAGCAGTGGCAGCTCTCGCTGTCCTGCCACCACCAGGCCAGACAATCCCTCCCTTGGCTGAAGGTCCCGTTGGCTCTCTTCCCATAATGGAAGCCTGAGTGCCAAGATCCTCCATGACCTCCAGAAGCCACAACTCCCTGCCGAGAACTCTGATGGCTCCGCGAATGCTCTCCGAAGGCGCCCTGGGGGGCATCGCCCAGATCACCCCCTCGCTGTACCTGAGCCGGGGCAGCGTCGCCTCCAACCGCCACCTGCTGCTGTCCCGGGGCATCACCTGCATCATCAACGCCACCATCGAGATCCCCAACTTCAACTGGCCCCAGTTTGAGTACGTGAAAGTGCCTTTGGCTGACATGCCCAACGCCCCCATCTCCCTCTACTTCGACAGCGTGGCCGACAAGATCCACAGCGTGGCGCGGAAGCACGGGGCCACGCTGGTGCACTGCGCCGCCGGCGTCAGCAGGTCGGCCACGCTCTGCATCGCCTTCCTCATGAAGTACCACAAGGTCTCCCTCTTCGAGGCCTACAACTGGGTCAAGTCACGGCGCCCCGTGATCCGGCCCAACGTGGGCTTCTGGAGGCAGCTGATAGACTACGAGAGGAAGCTCTTTGGGAAGACCACGGTTAAAATGGTACAGACACCCTATGGCATCATCCCAGACGTTTACGAGAGAGAGAGGAGACCCCTGATGCCTTACTGGGGAATTTAAAGGGACTGCAGACGGGAAGCACAACAGAAGGGACGCGCTGTTCCGAGTCGACCAGACCGGAGACGTTCCCTTCTCCTTCTACAGCCAACTTTGGTTCTTTAGCATACAGCAGAACCTCAATTCTCACCTCACTAACCTGCAAGGCCAACGATTCCCTTCGAAGCATTTTTCTCTATGGGGATTTCCCATCTGCATCTCTGATTTAGCAAGACCAGGTCTCATTATAAGTTTATTCCTTCCATAAAGCCGCCGTCTTTTTTTTTCTTTTTTTAGTCAGTTTATTAGGATCCTCCAAGGAAGGGCCCAAGAGGCATTGGGCAGAGTTGATGACCCAAGTGCGCTTTGTGCCGCGGTAGCAGCCTGGATATTTTGTCATAGCTTGTTTTGCTTCCTTGCAAAACCCTGTAGTGGCTCAGGAGCAGCACTAGCGAGGCCCTGCTCCACAGCAGCAGGTTTTCTAAGCACCAGGGAGGCAGGAATACAGGAGCTGTGGTGCTAGTGCTGATGTTTTCTTTAACATCTGTAGTGACTCTCAGTATATAGTGTTTGAGATCTTTAGTCAGCTCTTAATCATATTCAAAGTTAGGATAAAAAAGGGAAAAAATAACCGGAAAAAAAAGTGAATCAGTCCGTGTCGGCCACGAGTAAAATAAAAATCAAGCAATTCAAATCAAATAAATACGAGATCCTTTTTCACTCATTCCATGCCAGGGCAATAGTCCTGGAACACACTTCAACTACTGGAACATGCTGGTGTGTTTTGTGGGTGGAAAGTCGACAGATCTTTCTGTCGACTCAGGCGTGGCTCAAGCCAGAAGCGAGAGGGCTGAAGCTGCTGGGCAGCCCCAGAGATGCTCAGGATGTGTGGTGGCCCCTGCTGGGGCTGGGCTGTGAGTGCCACGTTCCAGCAGCCGGCCCAGCCCCTGGGGAGAGGCTGAACCCGCTGTTCTCAGCTCCGGCTCCGCTCGGGCCCTGCCTTAGCCCATTCCTGCCTCTCTCCATCCCGTCCTCAAGGTTATGCTGCATTCCAGGGCTGCTCCTCTCTGTCCCCAGCGAGGGTGACAGAGGCCTGGCCTCGCTCGGAGTGTGCCAGGAGAGACTCCAGCCCCAGCCCTTCCCATGGCTCCCGGGGCAGGGACTGGTTCCTTGGAGTGTGAGCCCTGGAGAGCCCCGCTCCTGAGAAGGCACCAGAGTTTCTGTTGCCTCTGGAGGAGGAGCAGGCAGATTGCTGCGATCACTGTCTGATTTAAATGAGATTCTATACTTGTTTAAAAAAAAAAAAATCAATAAAGATTAAACCAGAACATGTGTTGGTTTCCTGTTCCAAACGGCGCTAATGGAGCTCCAGCAGCAGCCTAAGGCCCAGCAGTGCCTTTAAACAATTCTGGCTGAAGGATCTTCTCTCCTGCTTTTCCAGATGAGTTTGGCCCCACTGAAATAAAGGTGAGATTTGCCATCATCTGCTGCCAGCTCGGGTTCCATGGCTGGATCCCAGTTCCAGTGGCAGGCAGACACAGGAGACTCATGTCCCCGATTTATCAGGAGTTAAACTTCAGCTAGGGAAATGGTAAGTGAGGAAGTAGAGAGTGAAAATCAAAATTAATCATTGGCCTGGAGACATTCCAACACATGACATTTTAAAGAGAAAAAAAATGCTAAAAACTGAAATCTGCTTACAAAATTAAACTGTACCTAAAAATGGGCAAAGTAAGGTTTAACAGCGTTTTTGGCATAAAAAATGGAAGGCGAAAAATTCTTCACTTTGAATTATTCTATAGACTTTATATACACACTGCCTGAGGACTGAGGGGAGAGGGAGATGCTGATGTTCAGCCAAGAAGGCACCGAAGTCTGACTTTAAACACAAGGGAAAATTAGACCTATAAAAAATTTAATTGCCTAATAAAGCACCTGAGGAAACAAAGAATTCACCTGAAATCTCCAAAGTTATATTACAGTGTTAGTGCTTGTGGAGATTTCACTGCAACAGCTCCTCTTGTATTCACTACAGCAAAAGATTTTATTCAAGTGTTTTCCCCCTCAAAATCCAGTTTTTTCTCCATTCTCAAATCCACAGAAACCAAAGAGAGAGCCCTGGTTTAGCTTGGGTTGCTCTGAGCACACCCACTGGCTTTGAGGGGAGCACCCCTTCTGCTCCCCACAGGCTTTTCCAAATGGTGTCTTGTCTGAAAAATGTTTTATATCTTCCAATATTTGGTGAGACATCTTTCCCATCCCAGCCACAGAGCAGGTTTCACTTACATGAGGATATAAATATTTCAGTTTCCCAGGCTGGTCAGATATGAAACAAGGTTTTTATTGAACACCAGGTTTGAATCTCAACACAGGATTTATAAATCATCGCAGGAATTAAGGGAGTAAACAAGGTACTAAAGTCAATTAATAACACTTAATCTCACTGGATTTGAAATATCAGCAGAAACTCCAGCACAAACCCAAACAGCTCCAACTAATAATCACAAAACCACTTCTGGAAGAAAAACAACATTTGCCCAGAGGGCAGGAGAAGAATCACAATAGAAAGAGTTTTCTGATCACTCTTCTTCATAAAATTATGACATTCCTATTTTAACACCGAGAGCTGGAATTAAATACAGGTGCAGAATTAAAAAGTAAATCCAAAGCAGCAGTTTGTACAATAGCAGCTTTTATTGGAAAGGCAGGTTTTGTTTCAAGTTTATGATTCCCAACGCAGCTGACAGGACTGGGAGCATTCCATGGGTTTCCATGAGCTCCTGCTCAGCCTGGGGCTGAACTTCACCCTCACTCCCACACCCTGCAGGGATTTTAGGCAAGGAGCTGTTCCCACCAAACCCAGTGAGGAGAAGCTGCTGCCAGGGAGAAAAAGTCCTTGGGATGGATGGTGAGTGCAGGGGGTGACAATCCCCAGGGCACAGGTGACCTCGGGAGGGCTGCAGGGACTCAGCCCAGCACGAGGAGGGAGGAGCAGGCAGGAGGCTGGAGCAGCCCCCAGCACCAGGAGAAGCTGCCACGGCATAGAAGCACCAGGAACACAATGGGGTTAAGCCATAAATACATTAAATAACCGAGCAAATAATTCCTCAGAACTCCAAATATACACAGAGACAGAAACCCCACTTTGCACAGGTCACTGCCAAGGCAGCCCCTTTTAGCTATCTACACATAGATTAAAAAAACCAAGAAAATCTCGTTTCTCTTCTCCAGTGAGAGAATCCATGCAGGAAAAGGAGTTCCAGGCCTGCAATTGGACACAAGCAAGGGGAAGGCAGCGTGTCCAGGGGCCTGCAGTGGGGGAAGGTGGGCTGTGACAATCCTGTCACCTTGGATACAGCTTGGAAGGACACTGGGCTTTGGCTGGCAACAACATCCGAGAGGATGCTGAATGCTCCAGTGAGTCATTGGAATGACTGGGAGCTGCAGCTGATCCTCCTTGTGCAATGCCTTTATCGAGGGGATCTCCGTGCAAACGTTCCCTGTGCTCCCACAGCTGATGGAGCAGAGCCCTTCCTGCTCCCCACAAAGACAGGGATGGTGCCTGCTGCTCTCCCTGCTGTGGGAACAGGAGAGCAGCAGTGTCACCCTTCAGTGAGCTCTGCTGCAGTTGGAATTGTAAATGTCCATCCCATTTTTTATGGGCCAAAAGACACGCTAGCTGCAGCTCAGAGAGGGGCTGAGCCGCTAACAGGTACAGAAAAACCAGCACTGGAAGGTGCTCCTGTGACAGCACAGCTGGTGCTTTAAATCTCACACCACGACCTCTTATTTGTGGCATTTTCTTTTAATTAGGTGAAAAAATTCCTCTCTAGCAAAGTGTTGGGAAGCTGTGGTGCAAAACCAGGCTGACAGTAAATTCCCTTTTCCCAACACAGCGTTCCCTCAGCACCAGACTCTCCCAGCCACTGGAGAATCCCTGCCAGTGGCTCCCTGTCCCCAAACTCCTGTGGGAACACTGGTGAGGGGCACAGCAGCCCCAGCAAGGAGTTGCTTCCCTGTTTTTTTGGAAATCCCTGGGCAGGATGTGAGAAGCACAGCACGGGAAATCTGCCTCTGGATCAGCTGGAGCTGGAGGCACACGGTGCTTTATTTCATGAATGAGCTAATTTGAGGCAGCAAGGAGATTTATTGTAATTGGTGTAAGGAAGGAGCCAGACACCTCTGAGCCAAGATTCTTTCATTTGGGCTAATTAATAGTTTCATATAACTAATCCTGTTTGTTTTTTAAATACAAAGCATCGTTTTCCTCATTGTAATTTCTGTCTCAGCAAATAACCACAGGTCAGTGTCAGGTACTTGTAATGGTGCAGGATTAACTTGGAGAAGCTGTTGAGATCTCTGGAGGAAAGGGACAGATCTGAGAGACTAAGCCAAAGAATTAAGGAGAAAGTTGCGCCCTATGGATTCACACCCCACTTCATTCCTTGCAGACCTAGACAGGGTTGTGGGATGACTCTTGTAACACAGGTTTAAAATCCTGTAACCAGCACTCCATGGACTGCACTCTCCTCTGGATACTGGATCTGAAGGACGAGCCAGGTACTTTAGATGTACAGGTAACATTCAGTGAGAGTCTGTGACACAAACCTGTCCAGAGAGGCACCTACAAAAGCCACAAACCAGCAGGGACACAATGCCTGCTTCAAACACAGCTTGCTGAGACCACCAAATCCCAGGGTTAAATCCCTTTGGGTGTTAAATCCCACTTCCTGCTGCAGGAGCCACGGGCCACCTTGTGCTGCCAGCTCTGAGTCACAGGAACACGTTGCTACAGGTAGCAGACTGCAGGAGCCACACACAGTCATCCCATCCCATCAGGAACAGCATCTCCACAGCCAAAAAAGGGAAAGAATCTACACAGCAGCAGATGTGCTGCATCAGCAGAGTCCAGCTTTCAGCAGTGCTGCAGCCACACAGCTCCCAAAAGGTCAGGAGAGACAAAATCCTACCTGGAGCTCAGGACTAATCCAGGGAAATTTATCTGTATTTACAACGAAGACCATGAGTTTTAAACTCCAGCTGCCTGCACTATAGAACATAGCACAGGGAAAATTACAGCAGTTTTCCAGTCCTCACCTTCCAGCACTAACCAGTTCTGCATCCAGCACAACTTCCAACACAGAGCAGTGGAAGCACAAACACCCAGCAGCTTCTCCTTGAGTCAATAATTCATTCTGCCTTGGATGCTGCTGTGACTCATGTGCTGTGATATCACAGCAGCAAATACTTAAAGAACATCAAGGTCCATGTCCTAAAAACGTTAAGGAAAAGATTTGCTTGCAAATACAGACTTCAAGTATTTAAGTGGTTGTTTCAATGCAAATCAGCCCAGCATTCCAGATTCTCTGGGAAGCTCCATGCCAGCCTCTCCCAGGTTTATGCACATGGTTACCAGGCTGCTTTTACACAGGATAACGTTTTCATCTTCAGAAAGACTGAAATTCTATTTTTTTTCCCATACTACATATTTTCCAGTTATTTCTGAAACCTTGGCCATTAGAAGTGAATTCTTCACCATCTGTAATAGAGGCTTTAATCCATTGATTTTTGGACCAAAAACCAACCCCAAATGTTTCAAACCCAGCTCCAGCCTCCCCACCACAGCAGTTACCCCAAGCCCTGCATGATTAGACCCAAAGCTCCACCTGCAGAGCAGCTGCTTTCAGAGCAGGTCTGGCAGGATGAGCCCTGGAGGTTTGGGCTCCACGCAGTTGATCCAGAAGTTGGCACAGCTGGCGTGGTACTGGTGCCCTCCGTACGCCAGCTTGAAGTTATCTGTCTCG